AGATGTGTATAAGAGAGGGGGGTGGGGTGTCGTCAAGGCCAATAAATATCACATAAATACCACAACAATAAATAACATAATATACAGCAAACACAATAAGGCTGTATTCGTCTGTATTAATGTTTCAAATTAATGATAATATAATAATTAATCAAAATAATGTATTTTAATCAATAAATATATTTAAAAAACAAAAGCGGGCTGTGATAGTTTGATAACCTTAATTAAAATTATTAATTAATAAATAATTAATACCGTGAGTCATGCTGTGTTTGTGTGTATTAAACACAAATACCCGAGTGCGTATCAAGGATACCAGCGCGGACTAATGAAGCGAGTGGACCAGTGATTTATTCATCCTCCGCCATAGGACGGCCGCTGCCGTTACTTGCCATCCTGGTAGGAATAGCATTGTCGGCGGTTAATGCATCCGGAAAAAGACCGGTTTTTTCAAGTAGGCTTGATTGTACCCTCTACCGCCGGATATATTATTTACCGCCAGCAGACGGCCACTGCCGTTACTTGCCATCCTCGTAGGAATAGCATTGTCGGCGGTTAATGCATCCAGAAAAAGACCGGTTTATTTAAAGCAGAATTGATTGCAGCCTTTATCGCCGGATATATTATTTACCGCCGGCTAAATAAATAGTATAATATAAGTTAAGCTTTATAGGAATATAATGAATACCTATCATAGAGTTTTTTCATGAATAATTCGTAAATATAAAATTAAAATTAATTAAAGAATATAGTGTACATCAATAGAGGTTTTTCATGAATAATTCGTAAATATATATATAAAATTAAAATTAATTAAAGAATATAGTGTACATCATAGGGTTTTTTCATGAATAATTAGTTGGGTTATTTATTTATATTAATTTTTTATTAGAGAGCAACATGGCGGTTAGATGACGTCATGCCGGGACCAGCAATTGACTTAAATTCAAGTCGTCACGCAATGCAGTTTATTTATTACGAATTTCGTAGAACTTATTCGTAAATTTCGTAGAACTTATTCGTAAATTTCGCAGAACTTATTCGTAAATTTCGTAGAACTTGTTCGTAAATTTCGTAGAACTTGTTCGTAAATTTCGTAGAACTTATTCGTAAATTTCGTAGAACTTGTTCGTAAATTTCGTAGAACTTGTTCNGCAGTCGTGGGGCACACGTACACGGCAGTCGTGGGGCACACGTACACGGCAGTCGTGGGGCACACGTACACGGCAGTCGTGGGGCACACGTACACGGCAGTCGTGGGGCACACGTACACGGCAGTCGTGGGGCACACGTACACGGCAGTCGTGGGGCACACGTACACGGCAGTCGTGGGGCACACGTACACGGCAGTCGTGGGGCACACGTACACGGCAGTCGTGGGGCACACGTACACGGCAGTCGTGGGGCACACGTACACGGCAGTCGTGGGGCACACGTACACGGCAGTCGTGGGGCACACGTACACGGCAGTCGTGGGGCACACGTACACGGCAGTCGTGGGGCACACGTACACGGCAGTCGTGGGGCACACGTACACGGCAGTCGTGGGGCACACGTACACGGCAGTCGTGGGGCACACGTACACGGCAGTCGTGGGGCACACGTACACGGCAGTCGTGGGGCACACGTACACGGCAGTCGTGGGGCACACGTACACGGCAGTCGTGGGGCACACGTACACGGCAGTCGTGGGGCACACGTACACGGCAGTCGTGGGGCACACGTACACGGCAGTCGTGGGGCACACGTACACGGCAGTCGTGGGGCACACGTACACGGCAGTCGTGGGGCACACGTACACGGCAGTCGTGGGGCACACGTACACGGCAGTCGTGGGGCACACGTACACGGCAGTCGTGGGGCACACGTACACGGCAGTCGTGGGGCACACGTACACGGCAGTCGTGGGGCACACGTACACGGCAGTCGTGGGGCACACGTACACGGCAGTCGTGGGGCACACGTACACGGCAGTCGTGGGGCACACGTACACGGCAGTCGTGGGGCACACGTACACGGCAGTCGTGGGGCACACGTACACGGCAGTCGTGGGGCACACGTACACGGCAGTCGTGGGGCACACGTACACGGCAGTCGTGGGGCACACGTACACGGCAGTCGTGGGGCACACGTACACGGCAGTCGTGGGGCACACGTACACGGCAGTCGTGGGGCACACGTACACGGCAGTCGTGGGGCACACGTACACGGCAGTCGTGGGGCACACGTACACGGCAGTCGTGGGGCACACGTACACGGCTGTCGTGGAGCACACGTACACGGCAGTCGTGGGGCACACGTACACGGCAGTCGTGGGGCACACGTACACGGCAGTCGTGTACGCTTCTCTGACACACTTAATACGTCTCTCTGACACACTTAATACGCCTCTCTGACACACTTAATACGCCTCTCTGACACACTTTTTCCGCCTTCACATTGGCATTGAGAAGGATTAAGGCGCGTTCAGTTGCACGTAGTCTCCGCGTTCCAGTTCCAGCGGAGGCAAGATGGCGGAAAAAAACATGAGTTGCAGCAGTCGAAAGTGCAGCGGAGAAATTGTGAAATTTTAGAAAAAAATAGACCGGTAATCCCCAGGTAACGGTAATATTAAATCCTGCGTTCATTATTTGATGGATTAATCTCTTGGTTACCTGAGCATTGCAGTGAAATTGATAGTAACACGAAGAGAAGACTGTGTAAACGAATCATGATGATGGCGGAGACGCGCAGCAACACAACCTCACTCAACCAGCGCCGCAGCGACACTGGAGTCAGCTGAGTCAGAGAGTGAAGGCGCCTGCGCGTACGTGTGGGTTGCCCGGGTAACGGTGGGTAACATTTTACCCGATTTATCGCTTTGTCGAGGTATTTAATAACCAATTAAACAATTTAAAATGGATTATCTATCAGAATTATATATGTTTTTCATTTTAAAAGACTTTTTTATTGTAGATGCCTCAAGGCGTAACGAAATCAACGAAGCAGAGAAAATAAATAAAAGGAAATGGTGTGAACTTTACAAGGAGGTCAGAAGACCGCACAAAAAATTTACCCGATTCATCGCTTTGTCGGAGGTATTTTATTAACTAATTAAACAATTTAAAATGAATTCTCTATCAAAAATATATTAGTTTTTTATTTAAAAATCTTTTTTGTTGTAGATGTCGCAAGACGTTACGAAATAAACGAAGCAGAGAAGATAAATAAAAGGAAACGGTGTGAACTTTACAAGGAGGTCAAAAGACTGCACAAAAAATTTACCCGATTCATCGCTTTGTCGGAGGTATTTTATTAACTATTAACACAATTTTAAATTAATTATCTATTAGATGAACTTAGATTTTTTATTTTAAAGCCATTTTTTGTTGTAGATGTTGCAAGGCGTAACGAAATCAACGAAGCAGAGAAGATAAATAGAAGGAAATGGTGTGAACTTTACAAGGAGGTCAGAAGACCGCACAAAAAACGAGCGGAGGTACGGGGCGGCGACAGACATCCAGGAATCAAAAGTAAAGGCGCCCGCAAGGTCGCCTTTACTTTTGTATTAAAGATAATAATTAAAGTCATGGAAGTTCCTGGCGGGAAGTGACATACGTGTCTCCATGGGGCGAGAGGTAGTTGATTTTGATTTATAATTGTGATTTATAATTGATAAAATACTGGTAGCTGATTAGTAAAATATTGCTTGATAATTGATAAAAAAATGGTTTATAAGTGGGTTGATAATTGATAAAAGATTGGTTAATTATTGATTATCAATCAATTATTATCAACTAATAATTATCAACCCAATTATTGACAATGTTTTCTCAATTTTTAAGCAATATTATGAAATATTGGTTAATAATTGATAAAAATATTGGTTGATAATTGATAAAAAATATTCGTTGATAATTGATAAAATATTGAATCATAATTGAAAAATTTGATCCCGTTATTTTTACGGGTGTAATACGGTGTGATGTGAGAGAATGTGGTGCCGTGTGATGTGAGAGAATGTGGTGCCGTGTGATGTGAGAGAATGTGATGCTGTGTGATGTGAGAGAATGTGGTGCCGTGTGATGTGAGAGAATGTGATGCCGTGTGATGTGGGAGAATGTGGTGCCGTGTGATGTGGGAGAATGTGGTGCGGTGTGATGTGATGATATACAATACAAGGCTATCAGTTCATCATTGATATACAATACAAGGCTATCAGTTCATCACTGATATACAATATTAAAACACAGCCTTTCGGAAGCATTGTTACAAGCTGGTTTAATATTAAAAACATATTCAAAAATACAGTATATAATATAAGAATTTGTAAGATAAAACGTAATAAAACTTGAGATATAATATAAGAATATGTAAGATATAATTTAAGAAATTGGGACATATAACATAATAAAACTTAAGATATAATATAAGAATATGTAAGATATGGCGTAAGAAAATGTAAGATATAACGCAAGAATTGGAAACATGTTGACAAAATGACAATATCATATTTAATATTGCCTATTATACATATTATTAAGATATAATACATAGAAAAAATATATATATATATACAGTATATAAATATATCTTCAAGGATCAGTCAATAGGATTGGTAACATTCCCGGACATGGGTTTGAAATCCGGACAAAATCGCGCCCGGTTCTGTATTCTGTAATTAGATTGTATTTAAAAATGAGACTTAAAAACAAATGACCACATTACCGGACATTATACTAAAACACAATCCTTTAGAGTTAGGTTAATGGGTTAGAGGGTTAGAATTAGGGTTGGGTGTGTATAAAACCCTTCTTTATGTTGCTGGACACCTTTCTACAGAGGTTATAGGTCCAGCCTGGTCAAGTTACTTTTACTTTTTTAAATCTTGTAAGAAACAAACTTTTTGTTTTACTTTTTTCACAATTACTTATCCGGATTTATTATTATATTATGATCGGGTTATTTTGTTGCCAATAACTTCGATGATAGTGTAAAAAAATTTAAAAAATGTCCGGTTAGTTTTTACATCCGGTTTTTAAATACAAAATAACTACAGAGTACATAACCGGACCCTATATAAATTTAATAGGGTTTCAAAATGTCAAGTCACCGTGTTGCAAATTATTACTAGTATACCGTACATGATTATATAATATAATATTTTAATTATAATTTAAAATAACCATGATAATATCACCTGGATTGATCGCCATTATCTTCTCAGAAATGCATAAACATGCAAAAAAAATCCCATGACTTAGCGGATCAAAAATTTTTCTTTTGCAAGGACCATATGTAGAGACATCTGTCAACTCGTTCGACGAACGAATTGACTAAAAATGTTTTATATAATAACATATTATATATATAAAATAATATCCCTTTATAAAACAAGCGAATAAGAAGCAATCGTTTCACTCACTAATTTACCAGCATTATCATCTTAATTATTAAAATCGATAATTTGGATCAGAAGCATATATGTTGAGACACTCATGAACGCAACAAAAGCTGTAACATGGCTTGGTTATTAGGTAATTTAGGTGATTAAAATGAAAAACTGTTGTTTTTAGGTAATTTAGGTGATTAAATTTAAATATTGATGTATTTTGGGTAATTTAGGTGATTAAAATTAAACATTGTTGTATTTTAGGTAATTTAGGTGAGCAAAATTAAAAACTGTTGGTTTTTAGGTAATTTAGGTGATTAAAATTAAATATTGTTCTATTTTATGTAATTTAGGTGAGCAAATATAAGAACTGTTGTTTTTAGGTAAATTAGGTTTTTTCAATTAAAATTTGGTTGTATTTAGGAAATTTAAAGTACGTAGTAGCTATTAGGTTGAACCTCAGCACTGGCGCCACTAGATTTCAACAACGAGAATAGCTTATATTTATATTTATCATCTTATTTATAATTATTTTGAGGCTATTTATAATGTTTTAGGGGGCTGTATAGTTCCCCTATATGTCTCCTTATGTCTTGCTATGTCTCCTTATGTCTCGCTATGTCTTCTTATGTCTCGCTATGTCTACTTATGTCTCGCTATGTCTCATTATGTCTCGCTATATCTCCTTATGTCTCGATATGTCTTATGTCTCGCTATGTCTCCTTATGTCTCGCTATGTCTCCTTATGTCTCGATATGTCTCCTTATGTCTCGCTTTGTCTCCTTATGTCTCGCTATGTCTTCTTATGTCTCGCTATGTCTTCTTATGTCTCGCTATGTCTTCTTATGTCTCGCTATGTCTCCTTATGTCTCGCTATGTCTTCTTATGTCTCGCTATGTCTCCTTATGTCTCGTTATGTCTCCTTATGTCTCGCTATGTCTCCTTATGTCTCGCTATATCTCCTTATGTCTCGCTATATCTCAATATGTCTCGCTATGTCTTGCTATGTCTCCTCATGCCTCGCTATGTCTTCTTATGTCTCGCTATGTCTCCTTATGTTTCGCTGTCTCCTTATGTCTCGCTATGTCTCCTTATGTTTCGCTGTCTCCTTATGTCTCGCTATGTCTTCTTATGTCTCGCTATGTCTTCTTATGTCCCGCTATGTCTTCTTATGTGTGGCTATGTCGGATTACAATAGTCTGTATGAAAGAAACTGTAGGAAGCCGTAAAGTACAAAACGGGCGTACCGTTTTCGTGCGGGAAAACGTTCCCGTAGTTTAATTTAACGGTAAATGACCGGTCACTGTAACGCCGGTGGGAACGTTTTTTTACGGTCGATTTTCTAACAGTGATAAAATAGACATGTGATGCCATTGCCCCTCAGGTAGCGAAGAATAAAGTGTATGTATTGATGTATGTGTGTGTGATAGTGTATGTAATTGATGTATGTGTGCTATTCGTTACATCAATGGTAACATTGAAGTATTCGTGACAAGAGGTCAACCGCGAAACAATTCTCTACACTTTAAAAATAATATTTATGGTGAAAAATTCTTGACGTATTTCTATATAAGCTGAATATTGGCATATTTGGTTAAAAGTTATGTTAAGAAACATCAGTTATCATCAGAAACATCATTTTATGATGTTTACTAAACAAATTTTGATCATATTTATACTGTCATAACTAATCAAGCATGCACATTGTACATAATATTGCGGTGACTAAAAATCACTTGATTATAGTCACCTATATAAATATAATAATTTCATAATATATAACAATGAATAATATAAAATCACCTATATAAATTTTAGTCACCTGCATATAAGTATTAATAGCAAATCATTATAATACTAATTACAATGAATATTACTTGACAACGCGCAATAGTTTCATGGACACCAGGCCAATGCCATGCTGCAAGCACCACCGTTGTCGGCTCCCAAGCTCCGCCCATCACCGACACCGAGAAATAAACTGGGCTTCCCGAGGTTCGAACCCACGACTAACTCCTCTCATCTCAGTGCCGCTACCACTGCACTACAGTGCCGCTATCACTGCGCTACAGTGCCACTACCACTGCACTACAGTGCCACTACCACTGCGCTACAGTGCCGCTACCACTGCGCTACAGTGCCTCTAACTAGTTATATATTATTTACATCATATAGAATTATTTCAGTGCGATCAATAATTCAAAAAATTACTTATTCCTATTTCTGAAGATAAGCACATAATAAAGTCTAATTTTAATTGTTACACACGGACGCGATCAACAATAATAATTGTTCTTGCCCTCAGTAAAATACAATTCATAATAATAATAAAATTGAATAATATAATTGATTGATTAATTATAATAATTAATAATACTATATTAATTAACTAATTAGTTAATT